AATATAAATATAGTAAAATCTCAGAGATCCTAGTTTTTCCTTTATTTGCTAGCTCAGATATTTAGTTTTCTTTTCAAATATTCGCAGATTGATTTACTATCGAAGCTATATTTTGCATTTGTTTCATGAATCATTATGATTCGATAAATCGTATCAGAGACATTTATTTTTCTGGAACGATACAATAGTTATGATTTATTGATATCGACATTTGTATGTATATGAAATATAGTCATATTCCCCTCAGAAATATTTAAACTGAATTAAATCTGAAATGTGAGAAAACGCTTAGTTTTAATAAATCCAATACTACTATTTCATCATATCAATGGCGTAGCCGGAAATTTTTGAGTCATGGACTATTCATTAGCCGAACTATTTTGAGTTACGGGCAGCTAATGGCAAACCGTTATGATTTCAAAAATATCTATGGGCAATAACTGTTCAAGCATTGCATAGCTCAATAAATCCATGGGTAATAACTTGTGGAGTTATGGGCAGTTGCCCAATGGCCCTACCCCTGGCTACACCACTGCATCATATCGATCATTGTTTAATGTTCTAGCGTGGTTACTAGTATACACAAACTATAATTCATATCACTTACCCTTTTCAATTGAGAAGTGTGCCACTGCAACACATGTAGTCATTTTATCTTATATTTTTGATAACATGATTAAATCAGAAAAGTTGTTGAAATATACATCCACAAGTAAGAGTGCAGAAAAGAAAAATGCATTAGTTATGAAATTGATTCATTATTTTTTATCATAAATATTTAAAATATATGGAGAAATTCAACTTTCTCAAGGCATAGAAGATATACATTGAATAAGATTAAATCTTGTTAAAATTTTGCTTCACTTTCTGAAATTATATGTTAAATGTGAGTTTAAATAATGTAATTTATAAGATAAATATAACATAAATTGTATTCCATTGAAGCAGTGATAATAAAACCAAATACTAGGATTCAGTTGATATTTAAAATATGCATACACTAAGAGCAAATAATTACAAAATTATTCGTCTTCTGTAAAAATTTTTGATAAAGAAATTTGGTGATTCATGTGAAGCGCGTTGTGGATGAGAAGAAAATATTTTGAAAAAAATAAATGATTTCACCGTATTTTATAATTTCTGCAACTAAATTTCAATTACTATCTTGATCAGGTATTGATAAAAAGAGAATAAAGCATTAGTTAATGCATCTTTTCTTATAGTTGGTTTAAGTTTTTTATGATAAAAACATAAAAAGTATACGAATAGGGTAAAGAAAGAAAATTTATTACATTTTTTCCAAACTAAGGTAGTATTATTAGAATCAACATCTTTACAACGAATAGTGTATATACGATTTTTCGTATTTTGTCATAATAGCTATAGTATTACTTTGATGATGAACGTATTTATCAGGACAGAATCGATAATTTCTTGCCATGTTTAAAAATAGTAATTTTTTATTGCTATTTCCACGAAGACATGAATGAATATAATCTTGATCAGATGAATCAGATTTAATTATGTTTCCAAACAAAAGTAGAAAATATTTGTTTCATTTGTTCACAAAGATTTATACAATTAATTTTGTGATCATATAAGGAATGTAACATATTTTGATTTGCATTAACATTTCTATACATATTAGAAAACAAACTGACTCATTTTTTAGAATATCATAATAAAATGTACGGCATAACAACGATGATCATATAAGTATAGCGGATTTATATGACTAAAAAGATTACATACTTAACGCTACCCTAGTCAAGAATTCATAAACAAATCCTTTGAGAGTCCCATGCTCACTCTCGGTCCTTGGTGGAATGCCTATCATGATTTACCAGGGACTTCGAGAGGATTTTATAATGAGATTTTATTAGGAGTGGATATTCTGATAAGAACGTCGTGTACGATCGTTTGCAGTCGTCTTAAGTCTCATAGTATATTCCTGGAGAGTTCCTGACAAATCTTCATAAATTTTCTAACAAATCCCCAGGAACTCTCACATCAATCCCTGGAAACTTCTTCACTCCCTCGTAAATCCATATGGAATCCCTGTTGGGAGTTCCCAGGGAATTTTGACAGGAACTCCTCAGGGATTCGTTTAGGGATTCTCGACTAGGGCATCTTATCTTACCAAACTGTTCGAGATTTGAGTCATTGGAGATCAAATCCATATCGAATAGTAGCAAATCCTAAGGCTTTAGAGTTTGTTGTATCCCAAGGAAAGATCAAAATAAGCAACTTTTGACCACATATTTTGTATGGATGCATTCAAAGACAAATGACAAATGTTTTTGACATAGCAGTTCAATTGCACATACTTAGAGTCGGTTTGGTTAGTTTCTACCGGCTTTTTCATTGACTTTTAGGACGATAAAGGTGGCGTATTATGCTCGTTTTCAATCATTTCCATGACTTTATTAATCAAGAGATATGAGTCTGGAAGTCTTTAAATGACAAATTGCGAGTCATCTTCATCAAATTCCAGCTCTCAATATTGATCTAACACTTTTTTCATCGTACGATGAGAGCCTTAGAATCATACTGAATGAATTTATTATGCTCAGGAAAGATGAGCCATATATTAGAAATTGATTTCAGTCGAAACTAATACTTTTTCATCACAAAGTTTCGAACGCATTTTTCTAGACTACTTTCAATCAACTCTTGTTGACTAATAACTCTTTAAAACTGTGAAAATATTTAAATGTTAAAACAAACTTATCATAGGAAGTCTAGTATCAAAACAGCACTATCTTTCTATCGACAACAGTATCCTTTTACGACTTGAGATGATGTTCAGCTGTGTTAAATAAGTATTTCAAATAAGAATAAATCAAACTTCTCAACTGTAAAGAAATCATATCATTATTGAAAAAAAATTAGTTACCGCATAATGTAGATGCTAGTTGCGGTAAGTCATTAGATGAAACATTTTGAAAAAAATCTTCATTCGTTCTTCATGTTAGTACGTACGAAACATGACAGAATAACAGAGTTGTTACTAGTACAAAATTCTAAGAATTATATAAATTTTACATGTTGTGTGTACATAGAACTGAAGTAGTAGACTGTTTCTCGAAAATATCGATATAGTAACTGCACCGATTACCCACTAGCCAAATCAAAAATTTCAGCCAGTTGGTTGAAAAACATTCGAAGTGGTTCCAAGTATGAATTGCTGTCATAGTCACATCAAATAAAATGTTTACTCAATCAAAATTTTTTAGTCAATTTTCAACAGAACAAAGTCTTTTGCTTTGCTCTATAACATTATTTGCTATACATGCTTTGAATAGTTGTGCACAAAGATGTCATACGTTTTTTTTTTATTTGAATAAAGAAGAAATATGAATAAGGGAAGAAACTTTTTATTGTACAAGATAAGAAGTATCAGACATGAGTTATTACAATATGTATTAAGATGAAAGGATATCTGAGTTGAGTAATATTTGACCGAGAGAGAAGAAAATCACAGGGATAAGAAGAAGAAGAAAAAGAAGTATATAATATTCAAGTTTTCATTTTGATTTATTCTGTTTCTTCATTTGTATTTGTATCCGCTTTTGTTTGACTTTTAATAGCTTCAATTTTTTTATCATGTTCATTTAATTTTTCCATTAAACGATCTAATTGTTCTTGTCGATCTTAAAAATAATAATAATAATAATAATTAAATATAAAACATAAAATAATTTTCTTTACTTGTTTCAGCTGTATTTAATTTTTGATTTATTTTTTCTTGTAATAATTGTCGTTCTTCTTCGAGTTTAGCTAAATTGTGATGAACAGTAGCAAGACCTTTTTCAATTGGTGTTTTAGCTTTTTCAACTTTAGCTTGTAAAACACGTTCACGATTTTCTTTAGCTGATTCGAGTTTTTTTTGTAATTTCTCTTCTGTTTGTTTTTTAAATTCTAAAACAAAAATAAAAACTGAAAAACTTTATTTTATGAATTAATTTTCTTTTCGTACCTTCAGCTTGTTGATCTTTTATTTTACTAACTTCAACTGGTCGATTATTTTCTGCTGCAAGTAATGTAGCACGAAGTTGTTCAAGACTAAGTCGACGTTCTTCAGCACGTTTTAGTTTTTCCGTTATACTTTCAGGTGTTAATGGTGTTGTTAAATCATTTTGATTATTTTTTGCACTTGGTGAAAGAAAATGAATTGGTGGTTGACCAGTTCCATGACGTGGTGATTCTGCTAATTTTACTTCAAATGCAAGACCACCAGATGATTCAGCTAAAGTCGATGATGTATCACACATAGTTGTTGTTCGTTTTGGTGCTAGAATTAAATTTTTATTAGTATTAAATTACTGAATATATATGATTTTACTACTTACTTTCCATATTGACTAGATATGATTTAGCTAATAAAAGTAAAATCTAAAAACAAAAGACAATTTATGATTTTTGTAATGGCGGATTATATTCTCGTTCAAAACGTTTAAAATCTTCTTCAGTAAAAATATTTTCTTCTTTTTCTTTTTTCTTTTTCTGTTGTAAAATTCGTTTAGATGGACCACCAAATCGATAATTATTTAATTGTTCAATTTGATCAGATGATACAACTGGTTTTGATATTTTTTTTAATGTTGAACATGTTTGTGCCAATTGTTTTCTATTTTGAAATATTGATTTATCATTATTTATTAATAAATTTTTTTTCTTTTTCTTTTTAATTGAACTTAATTTGGATTTCGGTTTTATTTCTTCATCATCAATTATTTCTAAAGCTTTCTTGACAATAGATTTCGACATAATTGTTTTCAAATTATTAACAATTCATCGACAGACAGAGACAGACATATCGGACTATACAAAAAAAAAATATGTAACCAATAAAAATAAATGTAACATATAAAGCACTAATGCATTTAGAGGTCAAATCGGAGAAGAAAAAAAAAAACAAGAAATTTCTTTCTCTTCTATTCTTGTTATTGTGTGTTTGTTAGTTATTCATTCATTTATTGAAATTACCGACATACAACATGTCTAGCCGACATTCACGTAATCTCAGTGCATCACTTTATGTTCGTGGTCTTGCAGAAAGAGTTCGGTAAGTTTTTCTTCTAAGTTTTTATACTTTATCGTTTTTTTGTTGTTTTCTTAATTTCAATCTTTTCTTTTGTTTTTTTTTCTTGTGAAAAATCTATAAAAAAATTAAATTCCCAGATAGATCTAAGCTAAACGCATGGCTTTGTGTTTTCTTTATATTTTTTTCATTTATTTTCTTTTCTCTTTCATAAGGTGTGTTACAAACGTGATCAAACAAAAAATATAAATCACACACATACACACATATACATACAGTCCCATTCTTTTTATTCAATAATACTCAAGCAATATGACCACACCAAAAATCTAACTAATTAATCAAGCAATTTCAAATAAGAAAGAAAACAGATTTTTCAAAAAAAAAAATTCCCATACAAATGCAAAGTACAGACAAGTTTCAATTGATTCCACATAGGAGATTCGTTTCATTTCAAAGTGGTGATGATATTACCAGGCAGCATCAGCAGAAATTCAAAACAAATTACAAGCAGTAGACGTATGCATCATATCATAGCTTTTCGGTGCCTTTATATTAAGTTTAAACAAAAATTGCTTTTTTTTTCTTCGATCTTAGTCAAACAATATAAAGAAATCAATGTTGCGTGACAAATATAAAATGAACAAGCGTCATAGATGAATGACGTTTTATTGTTAACTAGGAAAATGAGTCACGACAATAGAAGTCAAGTTCAACTTTTGAATGAAAATTTCATCTCTCTTATCAGACAACGAAATAAAACAAAAACAAAATCCATATAAAATTTCGTGGCGGTAAATCAATTCTGGTTTACTTCCTATTTCTCTAGAGATACAAATATTCATATTGAGTTATGTAACAAAAGTCGATTACGATATAGATTTCTGTTTTGAGAGTTAATGCATCGAAAGTGTATAGTTTAGTAAAAAGAAAGCACTCATTCTATCAAAGTGATAATGCAATTTTGATCTATATACACTGATCATTGGTTCAAATCTATGAATGAAGTAAAAAATGGCTTCAATGAATAACATTAAATTTCATTTAGTTATGACGATTTGAAGAAAATCTTTGGACGATATGGACGTATTGTTGATATAACACTTCCATTGGATTATTATACACGTGATGCTAAAGGATTTGGTTTTGTTGAATATGAAGAAAGTCGTGATGCTGGTAAATAATTTTCTATCTATTTATAGTTCATTGAAAATATGCATTTTGTCTTGTAGAGGAAGCTCTTCATGCTCTAGATCGTTATCGATTATTTGGTCGAGAACTTGAAGTTGAATTTGCACGAGGTGATCGTAAAAGTAAGTTTTTTTAATATTTTACAATTTGAATGAAATAAAAAAAAAATTTTCAATTTATTTAGCACCATCGGAAATGAGAGCTCGTGAAAAAGAAGCACGTTATGGTGGACGAGGTGGTGATTTTAGTCGACGTGATCGATCACGAAGGTAAATTATTTTGTTTTAGCATTAATCAATCTATATAAATTATGATTTTAGTCGTGATCGTCGTCAACGAAGTGTTTCACCAGTAAGTCGAGATCGACGTCGAGGTGGTGGTAGTCGATCTCGTTCACCATATTCACGTTCGCCGATACCCAGACGGTAAGTTAAATCGTCGATGATGATGAAACATAGTTGCTACTCTCGACCTCTTTAATAAAGAGGTATGACGATATGACTATCCACTAAGATCTCTGAGACGATTAAAAATTATTGAAGATTTTTATTTATGATTTGTTTTTTTTAAGAGGTGGTAGTCGTTCACATTCAAAATCGAATTCACCAAGTTATGCTAAACGAAATGGTGGTGGAGGTGGTGCTGGTAATACCAGTGGCGGCCGTCGTGGAAGTCGATCACGATCACCAGGAGATAATTAATTTAAAATTTTGAAAATAAACTTCGAAGAAGTTGATTTTCACTTCGGCTTTTTTCCAAGTCTCTGTGTGTGCGTGCGTCCGTGTGTATCTTATATGTGTCTATTAATAAACAAGAGAGGAAAAAAATTATAAACAACATATTCCTTGAATTTTTTTCTTTTTTGTGTATGCTGTTTTTTTTTCTTTGTTTATTCTAATTGACTTCTCTTTTTTCCTTTTTTTTTCTTTTTTCGTTTATTGTTGTTGTCTATTGATCTTTACACAACATATGCATTAATCATCTTTCTCTTCTCTTGATATTATATTCGACAGTTGATGAAAGCAAAGAAAAAAAAAATGAGACGAATAAATCGTTTACGTATTATGTATACACATTTTTTTTTTTTCATTGTGTATTAAAAATATTTGAAGAAAAAAATTAATTTTTAATTGAAATCAAAGGAATTTGATGAGTCAATGAAATTGATTCATGAAAAAATGCTTGCGGATCATTTTTGTCATGTAAAGTATAGAGTTTATTGATAGAACAAACTTCTATAGATATGAATAGTATGAAAGTAAGCATTTTTAATATAAATCAAAATTGATGAGAAAGTGTCAATATGCGATATGGGTTTTTGTGAAACACGATCGAACTGAAGTATGTAGGATGAAGGTCAATAACGTCTCTTATTTTTGAAGGACTAGATGAAAGGATGACAAAGAAATGTGTCTCAAAATAGAAGGAAGGAAACAGTCTCTCTATGATTAGTAACAACAGCTACTTAGTGTTTTCATAGTTTATTTCCGTTAGGATTGTGCTAACAGCTTTTTTAATACCTTCTTGAATAGGATTTTTATTAGTAGATTATTTCATGCTTCATCGGTCACATTTTCATGTTCATGTTGTTATTTTAAGATTCTTTTTCATTACAAATTTTGTGTTTGATAAGCTAATAAACTATCACAGTACCGTTAAAATCAAGATTATAACCTGATCATTGACATAGTTCAATATGACGTGGTTGACTAGAGAATGCAGTCGATGAATTATTAATAAGTGTTATTCAAGAACGTATTCAAAGTACTCGAAAATGTATGAACACTCTATATTTCAAGTGTCTACTCTTGTACTATTGTTATATATCGACATGAATTTGTCATGATAGTAAAGTCTGTATTTTATATCAAAAATACGATTTGCAAACAAGTATTTATTTGTGTCAATGAAAATCAAAACATTGCATACATATAATTTTCTTTTTAAAAGAATTTTTCTGACTAGCTCATTTTTTTATAGAATTAATTTTTAAAGTAGAAAATATTATGACTAGTAGTTCATACTGTGCTCTTGTCATTTCATAATTAAAGAATTTATTGAATGAACTCCATTTCTCTCCCGACAGAATAGTAGCTCACTAGGTTTCTTATTTGTTTCGCAAGTTAAAAGTTTGAAGAGTAGGCTTTTATTGCAATTATGTTTTTTTTCTGTGTTGTAACAATAATTTGATTTGCTTTCAAGTACAGAAATGCATATACAGAACAACTAACATAGTGCACACAGACTACTTGTATGATCAATATAATAGAAAATCAACTTTCGTGTTTCTTCAATAGAAGTGACTTTTATTGTCTTCAATTATACGATAGAATGCTACTGAATGGAGCTTGTTGGATGCAAAATTCAGACTCGAACCGTACTCTTGATACTCTCAATGAAATTGTTTTATTTTGAATCTGTAAGATGCTTTTTTCGATTGTTCGTAGCCATATCTTACACATTTGTCAAGCAATTGTGATGATGCTTTTATAAGAGAGAAGCTATAATTGACTTTTACTTGTATAGTAGCATTCGTCTGATGAATTCTAAGGTCGGATCTCTTGAGATCTGGAACCTACCCAATGGATCACATACGACGGATTTGAAATAGTAATTAAAAGGATTTCAATAATAGTATAGAAACTATGAAATCATGAGAATTGGTGAGACTCTCAAAATCTCGATTTATAAACACCAGAGCCTAAATTTTTTCGAGTCGACTTTCCAATGTTTGAAAAACGTTTCGTTGATTTCGAATTTTATACTAATAAGGATTTACTTTTCCAATGACTGACTCTAGAAACCAATCATTTGAGATACAAGCATCGTTCGCTTTGTTATCATTTCAATGGTGTATGCTCATTACTCGTCAGTGAAACACTAAAGAATAAAAAGTACAATTAAAAATTTCGTTCAAACCAGCACATCAACAAAGTTTCTTTTTGCAATTTGCGTATTTTGTCCTCATCGTTCGTGGCTTCAACTTTGAGGATAGATAGAATATCAATCAATGTATCTTAAGTATCAGTTTTAGATCAAACTGCAACAATGGCAAAAGTTAATCGACAGAATGAGATGCTTTCATTTAATATGATCAGAAGGATACAAAATCAAAAGCAAATGAAGAATCAATTGATTGAAAGAAAAATCAAATGCGTTTTGTCTACTCATATAAATTTATATGAAAAAGAAATAGTTGCATATCAATAGTTAAAATAAACAATACAAGAACGTTCATATATTTTCAAAAAAAGTTCAATTTGATAAATATTATGTTTACCCTTGTAAAGCAAAAATGACTCTTTTCATTAGCCACTTGTTGAAGTCGGTTTTTACCATCTTCTGATAGATTACATTTTTCTAAATACAAGCATTTTATTGAACGATTCTTCTGCAGTATATTGATGATATCATCAATACATTCATCATTGATTAACGTATTTCCACAGACACTCAATGTTTTTAAACCTAATTTTTTATCTCATGGTAATACTTGAATAATCGATTTTACACCTTTTGCAGCCATTAGATTTTTATCTAAACGGATTAGACTGATTACTTGAGGACTTTCGGTTAATAATTTTGCTATACGCATTGCACTCACCTCGGTTATATTGTTGTCAATAATGAATAATTTTAGAAGAGATCGATCGGCTATAGCTTCAAGAATATAATAAAAGTCTTCGTCTTTTAAATCATTATTAGTATAATAAAGTATTTCTAATGAAACAAATTTTCGTATATTTTCTGCAATAATTTTAGCTGATTTTACTGTTATTAATTTATTTTGAAATCATATCGATTTTGTTTGTGTAATCTCCGCACCTAGTTCAAAAGGAGTTGTGGTATGAGCGTTGATCGAGCTCGGCATCCTATAGTAATCAGTGCTATGTGGGCTTGTATTACTTTCTTTAGCTTCTTGATTTCCTGTTGGCATTACAGGTATATTTGAATTTATTAAAGGCAATGAAGATGAAGAATATGAATCGTTTGCTTTAAATTCATTTTTATCTGCTTCTTCAATGATTCGTTCAATTGGTTTTGGGTAAAAAAAAAACTTGTTCTGAATCGTAATAGGCCCTAGTATCCGTATCCAATTTTACATTATATAATAAATCATCAGTAGTTGTCTCAACATTTGAAGTTAATAAATTTGAACATCGTGAGCAAATATTCATCGTTGATGAATTCTTTGTACCTTTGACGACGAATGTTTCGAAGGTAGAAGAAATAGAACTATCTGTTTTTAAATATGGAAATGATGGTTCAATCTCTTTGATTTGAATAATTCATAGATGTGGTGCTGGATTAAGATGAGAAACAACGATAAATTGACGAGCGGCTGCTAAAAGAACTTCATCTTCTTAAGAATAGTATGAATATTGACGAATCTCTTTTCCTGTGAAGCATTCAATTATAAATATATTTCCTATTCCTTTTCCTTCTAAATAGATTTCTGATTGAAGAACAGCAAGGGATTTTGTACATGATGAAAAACCCCATCAAAAAATTTCTTGCCAATTGTATAGAACTCGCCCAGATTCTGTTTTACACCTCGATAAATAATTTCACGATATGAAGGTATATGAGAAAGAGCAGTAATGAAGAGTTTTAATTAGAGAAACCAAGACTTGAGTTGATCGGATCTATCCGATTTATCTGAACGAAGAGTTGTATTCAGAACAGCATACAATGGTCTATCATCAGAAGAACTTCCTATTGTGTATAACATTATAGCTGCTGATTGATCTAAAGTCAGTCCATCTGTTCGCTTTTCATAATTGTATTTAGATGTATAAACTTTTGCTTCAATGTTTGATAGAATTTCGGTAAACGGTTTGATGGCCTCTTCCAAGGTTAATAGAGGCATTTTTTCGTAACCTTCTATAGGCAGAAGCATTTTCTTAGGTTCTTCAGCTACGTCCAAAAGTCAATCACTATACATGATTTTTTCGTTAGAACCAATATCTACAATCATTATCAATTAGTCAAGAAAAAAGTAAAACAATCAAATAGAAAGTTAAATGACTAGAAGAATATCTCATCAAAACAATAATTCTATACATATTTCAACTAGATCTTATTTCCTATTGCCCACTGAACTCTGACCCGGATCTGACAAAAATAAAACGTCAGATTCAAATCCGGTCGAATCCAGAGCTCGGTTTTTTTCCACTAATGTCTAGTACTCTCTCTCTATAAAGGAACAAGTGAAGGATCAATGTTTTTAGCTATTTATTGGTTACTTTCAAAAATAAAACTCAACTTACAGTGATGTCTTGTTATGCACTTTCTCATCATTCGATTCTTAATAAATTAAAAGATCTCGCTTAATTGAAAAGACTTTTATGTTAATAAAAGAAGAAAATCGAATAGTTTAATTATGTAAGTTTCGTGATTTTGAGTTCAGTTTTATTCAATAAAAATATATTTGCAAAGGTAGAAGAACGAAACAAGGAGAACAAGAGAAGATGCATATGTGTATATATATATATATATAGGATAACAAGAATAGGAAAATCACGATTCTTAGAAATCCATTTCTTCACTTCCTATTCTCTTACATGAGCACTTTCTATTATTTCCCACAGTATTTTAAGCTAATTATAAAAACAAAAGAACTAATTACGGATTTCCACATAATTTATCATATGTATCTAGCTAATACTATATCGAAAAGTAGACAAAGTTACTGACATATCTTAAGAAAAAAATCGGCGATATATATTTACTTTGAAACATACATCGTCATTCAAACCAAGTAATTTTTTTCTGCTTTACTGTTTGTCTTGGTTCTTTTTCCAAATGCAAGGTGACAAGGCCAGCAGATAACATAAGTCAAACATCGAGATGTAAGGCAATCGACTGAGCGATCTCCAAAGGCGAAAACATACTAAAGATCTTTTTACTTTAGTTGCACTGACTCGAAGATCGATATTCTGTTGTTGAAGACTTTCACCATCCAGAATTAGGTATAGCACGTTCTATTTTCCTTTCCTTTTTTTGAAAGAAACTGCATTATCATATTTATTCAGGAATAGGTTTCGAGACCGTAAGTTCCATGCAAAAAAAAACGAAAAACAACCCGTACATTAATAAGGTGTTTCATTTTCTAATCGTCTTTCTCAGCATTTTTCTTACATAATTATCCATCGATATGGTATCTCGATGTGGGTCAAAGGTTGATCTAAGACTATACTTACCATCTGCTAATACAGAGGATTCGAAAAACACACTATACTGATTACGATCGATTAAAACTATATTTAGTGCGTATTTTTTTGTATACGTCAGTTATATACTTTCTTGTCACTCAGTTTCTATTATCCTCAATCTATATTTTCTGCTTCGAAATCTCTCAAGACCAAGAAAATTTTACAAAGAATCATCGAAAACTTCAAACTGTTATCGTCACATGATCAAATATTTCCAGCCGCTGCCATCGACCAAGGAAGAAAAGTCATAATAAATGCAATCACTGCCAACGATCAGTGTATCAGCTTACACTTCTACTCAGTTATCGAAATGACGATAAGGATTACAAATAAATAACTAAAAGAGAATGGTGTGTGTGTGTGAGTTTAAACGTATCGTTGTCACTACGATCTTTATTTGTGAAAGAAATCTGACTATAACAACAACAGCAAAAAAAAAGCAAATGACAATGGTGATGATTTATGCATTCAATACAAGTGTGAAAACACTGATTAAATATTAGCAAGGACAAGATGGAGATGATGGTGCGAATGAATAAGAGCCTAACATTTTCTAGTAGATTCTCGTACTCATTCTATTACTCTTACTTTCTGCAAAACGATATAGTTGGTGTTGCTAATCACAATGAGTTTGTTTTATTCCATTTAATTTAGAACATGTTTATTCGTCATCCTTTTAATTAACCTTCCATAAATCCAATAAGGAAAGTAGTGCATATATGATAACGAGACGTTATTGATATACAGTCTTTAATCTTGTATTAACAACTTCTGTTATAGTCTTTGATGAGTTTTTTTAAGGTGTCTGTCATGTTTGTAGGAGGGAAACACTCCTTTTGACCGTGTTGTACAAAAGAACAAACAAAGTCAAAAAAATGGATCAATATTATTTGTCTTTTAGATTTTCGAGACGTTCTTCTGTTACATTTTTAATCTGTAATAAATGCCTTGTTGTTGAGATAATCATTCATGATATCTGCGTTCTTTAATATGACCACAATCAATAACATAAATTTTACCAGAATTTTAAAGTATTGATAAACGATAAGCAATTGTTAAATATGTTCTATTTGTTCGTGTTGTAACTAATGCATGTTGAACAGCTTTTTTCAGATTGATTATCTAATCCCATTGTGAAGTCATGAAGAAGAAAGGTCTTAAATTCAAAAGTAGAGCTCACAAAATAACAATTACAACAAAAATAGATGATGATCATGTTACTACGATCTGACCGTTCTAGTTTTGATATTTGAATGATGATTTATTTGGATAAGCAGCTGACAAAAGAAAAAGATCGATTCACTGAGTCGTCATTCTGACAATTTCGATGGCTGTTTTATCCGGGAAGAAGTGAAACGCTGAAAATGCCGTTTAAACTGTCATAATCACCCGTTCTGTTAGGAACCGGTGATAAACGGCAAGAAAAAACATGATCATCACTTTTCTTGCCGTTTTTACGTCTAGTCAGCGTTTCCAAGCGGTATTCACATTAAATAATTTCTGAAACGGTTATATAAGTCATTTTCTTCTTCGTAAAAGATAGTGAGAAATGTTTATGATCATCTTTTCCAACGAAAACAGCTGTAAATGCTTAAAGTAGATTAATTTTTTTTTTGGGACTGGTTCCCATAATTATTTATATTCTCGTGAATTTGTATTTTTTATTGTTTCACAGTACGCGTGAAAGACATTTAGTCCGTTTGGAGTTTCCATTTATCTTTTGATCTGCTGAATTACTTCAAAAAAGTATTCGCTGTAGATTTAATTATGTGAAAAAGAGTTTCTTTGATTAAAGTAAGAATCCGCATCACCTTAACATCATATGAATCAAAATCATGTGTTGGTACGAACATTTGAATATCGAAAAAATACAGGTTGATTTTATTGATTTAAAGGCTCAATTTTCACATTGAAATCCTAATTTTTTTGAATTATGTTCAAAGCTCAAAACGTACGATAAATTATAAGTTCCTAATATTCTCAAACATAAAATTGCTGCATTAGAGTTTTCATCACAAATTATCAACTCATCTGTATATGAGCTAATTGAAACTCGTTTTATGACAAGCAATACAACATTATTAATTATGAGCTACATAATCCAATTAGAAACTCTAGTCAAGTCAAAAGAGAGTAATATTTTCAGTTAATATATATTCGACAAATGTATGTGGCATAAACAGAACGGATCTCATATGCTTAGTAATTGATTGTTAGTCTTAATCAAATTGGAGAGATAGGAAAGCAAAGGGAAGAAAAGAAAAAATTCAGAGAAGAGAAAGGAAAAAAGAATATTGCTCAATAAGTAAACATCACTTCTGCGAGCGATGTGAATGCACACAAAGATAAGATACATGAATGATATCTGAATTTAATCTAAAATACTATTCAGATTACGAAGAAATTCACATATTTACTGTATACGAATTGTGAATAAGGATTCTCATTGACCGTTGGTCGACCTTAGAAAACATGAGCAAAAATATTCAGATAACTCTAATAGAAGAAGTCGTCAGAATTGAGCGATGGATAGGATTTAGTTTCACCTTACGTTCTGCGTTTATTTTTGCCTTTTCTTAGGATGGTATTTGTGGAAAACTTCCTTGTACATTCCATAGAGATAGTTGACAAAATACGATATTCGTAGAAAAAATATATAATATAGAACTTATTTGTCATTTGGTAGCACCACATTCCATAATAAAATCATTAGTGAAACTAA